TCTTTCAGTTATATATTATATTATATCATAAAATTTTTAGTTAAGCCTAGCAGAAAAAAATGAGCTGAAACCATTTTTCTAAGATTTGCTTAATGCCTCATTGAGATAAGGAAAATTTTTACCTCAGTGTCACCTGTGTGTATTAAAAGGGATTTATTTGTGTACAAACAGATATTTTTGGGACTGATTTCTTGATCAGAATGCAAAAATTTAGGTTCTATATATTGAAGGTTGGTTAAGCTGTTGTTCTTCTTCTGATTGTTTTGGTTACTTGCCATTTGCACTGTGGGAGCCATCCAAGTCTGCTTTGAAATACAGCACTGATAAGGAGAAGTGTCATCAAGGGCATCAAGAGCATGTACAGAGCATGGAAGTGAGGCTGCTGCCTCCAGTGCTTCCATGGAGCTCAGTAGGACTGAAATTGGGCTCTGTGGATGCTACCACAGGGCCTCAGTGACACAGCAGCACTGGAAGCTCATTTTATTTGGGAGGTTAATAAAATCCACTTCTGTAATGAAAATAAGTATGAAACAAAAATGTTAGAGCACTGCTATGCAGCTGTTCCATGGACCTGCTCTGCAGCCCTTGTAGTAAAACTGGCGTGTAACACCGGCTCAGACTGGTCACTGAGTTAGTAATGATTTACAAAAACTTGTATTTATTTACTTTGTTGAGGTTGTTTTCACTTGACAGCTTTGAAACTGATTGTTTTGTTAGTTTGTCCTTTTAAAGCTGCCAAGCTTTAAGATTTTATGTTTCTGATTCTTTTTATCTTCCTTTTTTCCTCTTAAGTGTAATTAAGTACTGTCCAGTGTTTCTCTCCTTCCATTTGCTTCTTTTTTTGTAATAATATTGTGATTTATTACCTTTATTACCAGATTATTCTGCTTTGGGATAGTTAGAGGGTGACAGAGCCACATTCTCTATGATGTTTCCAAAATGAATGAAACTCTGAGCTGCTGGACTGTGGCACAAGGAAGACTGACAACACTCTCCTTCCACTTCCCACTGTCTCTTAACACTTCTTCTGAAAAGTAAAGCTTTTAGCCTCATCTCCAAGGAAAGACAGAGGACGAGGAATGAGGATCACTCCCTGAATGACAGATTCCTTTTCAAACTATTATACTTGCTAAAAAATGGATATTTGGGGGAAATCCTTTTTAACATCCATTTTCAGCTTTGAAAAAGATAATATTGATGGGGAGAGAAAAGGTTTTCAATTAAAAGTTCCTGCAGCTGTCATGGTGATTAATAAGGGCAAAAGGAAGGGAAAAGGATAAAGAAATGAAGTGCAATTTAGCATGTTAATGTTAACACCTTGTTCTGGGAAGGTACATTTTGGTGTCAGAGGAAAGAGAACTGTAGTGTGAGATGGTTTATTCACTCTCTGGCAGTGCTGAAGGGTTGTTGGGTAACCAGATTGTTCCACCACACACAGGAGGGAGATCGCCTGAGCGATGAGGACCTGTACAAGTTCCTTGCGGACATGAGGCGACCGTCATCAGTGTTACGGAGGCTGAGACCCATCACAGGTATCCAAGAGGTCTTTTTGCCTCCTGTCTGTTTAGTTGTTTGGTTAGTCCTTCCCAATTGCTACAGTGACCCCAGAGAAGTCATGGACAGCAATCCCTGGCTGAGCAGGAGCACCAAGGATGGCGTTTTGGCAGATTTGCACATTCAGCTCTTGTCACACTGAGAATCATAGAATTTTAGGGGTTGAAATGGACCTTAGAGACCATTCAATCCCAACCCCCTGCCCTGGGCAGGGACACCTCCCACCAGAACTGGTTGCTCAAGGCTTTAGCCAACCTGGCTGTGAACACTGCCAGGGTTGGGGCAGCCACAGCCTCCCTGGGCAACCTGTGCCAGTGTCTCACCACCCTCATAGGGAAAACGTCTGCCTTATATCTAGCCTAAATTTCCCCTGCTTCAATCTGAATCCATTACCCCTTGTCCTTTCACTGCAGGAGTATCTGTGAGGGGAGGATGCAAAGCCCAGAGCCCAAAACCCAACAGGGCTTGAGGAGCTTCTGTCTTCCTGAGTGAAATCCTACTCTCTAGCTCAGATCTCTCCCCTGGCTCCCAGTTGGTTAATCGGAACAGACTCCTCCTCTGTTTGAGAAAGGGAAACAGAAACACTGGCACACAGCAGTGAACCAGTACTGGTCCCTGACCTGTGCCACTCCTGACAATATTTACTTAATCTCTTCTTAAAAATCTCCAGTGACAGCAATCTTGCTGCTTCCTCGGATCATCTCCCCAGCACTCAGCTGTCCTTGGAGTCAGGTTAGGTATTAAGAAAACTGCAAAATTATCTTGCTGCAAATGAATCTGATTATGGTCTGCCATGGCCTCAGGGCAGTGATCACAGCCTTTCAAGTACTTGAGTAGTGTTACTAGTTCGCTCTATTCACCTCTGTTTTGTAGCCTGACCAATCTCAGGCATTTTCAAGCCTTCCTCTGATGGAGGATTGTTTGCAGCCATAGTTGGGCCTGAGAATAGCATTTTCTAGACTCTTATTTCCCCAACTTGCCTGTGAGAGAAGCATCTGGGACTTAAGATACATGTTTTCTGTGGGTCCTTATTATCCCTTCCTCCAGTTGCTCTAGATACCAGTTGGATCCACTGATATTTGATTCTAACAAATCCACATTGGCTGTAATTTATCATTTGTTTATTAAATTAATATATAGGATATTAATTACTACACAGGATATGAACCTGAAAAAACAAAGCATAGTTATGCTTTTTAAAATTTAAATTAGCTTCTATTTATTGTAATAAAATAACTTTCTTCTTACAGCTCAATTAAAGATAGACATATCTCCAGCTCCAGAGAATCCCCACTACTGTCTGACTCCAGAGCTGCTTCAAGTCAAGCTTTACCCAGACAGCAGAGTCAGACCCACCAGAGAAATCCTGGAGTTTCCTGCCAGGGATGTCTACGTTCCAAATACCACATACAGGTCAGAGTTTTCAAACACATTTCACCTTTCAGGGGCTGAGACTGGCAAGTCTAGAAATTCCTATCTTATCACCTGCCTCGTTGCAAAACTTGCTCTGTGGGTAGATCTGCTGTGCCAGAGGCACTACAAGGGTTCAGACTGACATAGCAGAAGACACACAGTTGTGAAGGGACAAACATGTTTGCATCAAACTTGGCTGTGAATAAGAACACGAGAGAGGTTTCTCCATTTCCAAGAAATCACAGGAAAATTTAGGTGAATTCATTTCAGTTTTATGTAGGATTTTTCCTTTGTCTGATAAAGTCATTTTCTTACTGGTTTTATTACTTGCTGACACTTCCAGTGAATTTTTTTTTTCTTTAAAGTGGGGGATAAAAATGGAGAAAATGCATAATCCATTCATTTTCCATTTTGATTTAAAAGTGATTTCTTTGTTTACAAGGTGGAAGAAATCATCTGAAGATCTGGAAGATAAGAAATTTTCCTAAATATCTTGGAAAATAATAACTTTTCTGTAACTAAGCCCAGGCAGGGAGCAGATTTCATTATACACCATTATTAATTTAAAGCTTTCTCACAGTATCTTTGAAGACATTGCATGCCTGAGTGGAATAGTCTTCAAGTTCACCAACACACTCACCAAATCCATTACTTCTTGTGGTAAAAGGTAGATACAAACCAGGTTTTTATAAGCCAAAGCTTACAAGAAGAGTTTAGTCAAGTTTCTTACTATGAGTTTGAAAAGTTCTATTTATTTATTTATTGGACAGGTAATTAAACATTACAATTGCACTGAGTGATCTCATCTCGGTAATAAATCCATGACAGTAGAAGCATTTTTTGCAGTGTTTCTGTAATTAACACATCCTGTTCACCATGTTTCACTCTGACAAATCACAGTTTAAAACCATTTTCTGTGTGGTTGCAAATGTTGAGATAAAAAATCTTTACAAGGGTTGGGTGAGATAAACAAGTCAATATGACTCAATGTAACTGCAGAATTGAGGTCTTTGTCAGGCAACACTCCCAGGGCCAGCAAGTCGCAAGTGTGTCACTAGTCCTTAGTGTTCTGCAGCTGAAGCTAAACAAATGTGGATGTTCCCAGGAGCAGGACCAACACTGTCATGTGGGTTGTGCCTGCAGGGTGTGTGTGTTGGTACCATTGGAATTGCCCCACAGGGAGCTGTTCTGTTTGAAAGGTGTTTTGGTGTGTGTGTGTTCACTTGGTCTTTCATGTAGTTTCTTGGTTGGTTGTACTAAAAGGTCACAAAGGGTCGTCTGTGATTCATTTCACATGAGAAGAACAGATCTCTTACTCATTGCAGAAAGCTTTGAAGCTTAGCTTTTAATTTTCTGTAAGAAACCATAGTTCTGGAATTACCCTTCAGAGTGTGGTATTTGGAAGATCAGGCCTGTGCTCTGGCTCACTTGCACGTGTGTACACGTCTTTAACTGTGTGAGCACAGTGCTCCAAAGAAGATTTGCCTCAGCTACACTGCTGAAAATTTGTCTGGACATACACAGAGCCTTAAAATGGGAAATTACCCTTCTTTCATGGGCTCATAGAAACATTCCACAGAAATAACATGAACCAAACACCAAATTAGTTACTCTAAGAAACAATTTCTTTTTTTTCCCCCCCTGTAGATTAACACCTAAAAGTTTTCCTAGCGTTTTCCCAGATGTTTGTTTCTTGAAACACTTCTTGTTTTCCCTACTGCACAACTCAGAAAGGAATGCAACAGCCTGAAAACCCATTCCCCCAAGCAATATTATCCAATACGTGAGTAGATGGTTTGATTCCTAAGCGTTAGAATTCATCCTGAGGAGGTAAAGCTCCATGAAAGTATCAGCACATTGGCACTGGGGCTTGAGGGGATGAGGATACTCCCCAAACATATTGTAACACCATCTCAGATGCCTTAGGTTTATGTGTTGGAGGAGACACGATGCAGTGTATGAATTGAGGGATGCATCAGTTGGTAAACATAGCACAAAGTCCTTTGATGTGATAATATCCAGTATGCACTGAATTAAAATGCATCAGGTTGGGCTTTTAAAAAGTCAGAGCTTTTCAAATCTGTTGGGTGTATCATTATCTTGGTTGACTTGAGCAAGTAGTATCTTCCTTTCTTAGGCTTCCAATATAAACCTTTTCTTCTGTCTAGTCTTCCTCTGGACCTTGGCGTGACATATTTCCCATTCAGGTTGGTTTCCTCACATTCACTGTGCCACCAGCCTCCTGAGGAACAATGCCATATCAGTCACTCTCACTTGTGCTCTAACATACTCTGAGTAAATAGCTCCTGTTTGCAAAACTAGTCTTCTTTAAACCCTAAATTCCAGCAAAGGTGATAATTTCCCAGTACACCGAAATCACAGAATCATAAAGGTTGGAAAAGCCCTCTAAGATCATCCAGTCCAACCATTTCCCAGCACTGCCAAGGCCACCACCAACCATGTCCCCAGGTGCGACATCTACATTACTTTTATATCCCTCCGGGGTGGTGACTCCACCCATACCCTGAGCAGTTGTGCCAGGGCTGGACATACCTTTCTAGGAATAGATTTTCTAAAATATCCAGTCTGAATCTCTCTTGGCACAACTTGAGGCTGTTTTCTCTTGTCCTGTCCCTTGACCCCTGGGAGCAGAGCCTGACCCCACCTGGCTGCACCTCCTGGTAGGGAGTTGTAGAGAGGAGTAATGTCCCCCCTGAGCCTCCTTTTCTACAGGCTGTGCTCCTACAGCTCCTTCAGCCCCTCCTGGTGCTCCAGCACCTTCCCCAGCTCCATTCCCTTCCCTGGACATGCTGCAGCCCCTCAAATGTCTTCCTTGTTGTGAGGGGCCCAGAACTGAACACAAGAGCTGTGTGACACTCTCAGCATTGTTTCAAGTGTTAGCAATTTTCAAGCCCAGGATGATGTACTAAATGTTTGTTGCATGAAGCAGGTGGCTGGAGGGCAATTCTGTATCCTGTGGTTTAATCATTTAATTGCTTTTTCAATTGTTTGTTTTTTGCTATAAAGTGGCAAACATAAAAACTCTAGAAAATCAAAGCATTCAGAACACTTTAACTGAATTATCTCCAAGGAGAAATGGCCTCAGCTTTGTATCTCTTGCTATTTTGAGAGTGTTTATATTGTGTATTCTTGACAAACAGCTAAAATCTGCCTTTGAATGGAAGTTCACAGTCATTCTTAACTTTTGAGTTGTAGTCAAAATGGAGTTAAGAGTCAGTTTATCTTCTGTATTTTTGCAAGGAGAGATGAAACACAGTCTGTTTTAGGGCTGCCCTTTGCTTCATAGCTCAGAATCTCATCCCGGGGGTTATTTCAGCCTGTGCTGCCAGTTCTGGTTCTGATATTGGTCATTTACACAGGAGGGCAGAGTTAGATAGATATTAGGAAGAAATTCTTGACTGTGAGAGTGGTGGGACACTGGCACAGGTTGCTCAGAGAAGGTGTGCCTGCTCTATCCCTGGAAGTGTTCCAGGTTGGATGGGGCTTGGAGCAGCCTGGGCTAGTGGGAGGTGTCCCTGCCCATGGCAGGTGGGGCAACAAGATGAGCTTTAAGGGCTCTCCAACCCAAACCAGTCTGGGATTCCCTTGCAGCTGAAACCATCCCATAATTCTATGACTCATGCAACAGAGTAACTCCCACATTATTATTCCCAGCAACTCATACCTAGGTAGTTTTCTGGGCAGTTGAAGTCACTGATTGTGTCCACATTCCGGTCTGGAGTTGAGAACCGCAGTTGTGTCTGCTCTGGGAGGGCGTTGGGGATGCTCCCGGAGATCCGGGACAGCTGAAGGGTGTAGTTGGTGTTGGAGCCCCCCAGGCTGAACAGGTACTCAATGTGCCTCTTGTTTTCCTTCCAGTCCTGCAGCTCGATCCGTAAGATGTAGTTCCCTTGTCGAGTGATGGAATAGGTCTTGTTCAGACCCAGCCAGAATTCCTCTGCAAAGTTAGATGTTGTTAATATGGAACTAGGCAAGAACATACCATGTGTTTCACACCTCTAACCCATTCCTCTGCTCCTTCACCTTTAAAATGACAATATTTGGAAATACGTGCTCAAATAAGCTGCAAAGGGTCTGAATTTGAGATATCAGAGGTGAAGATGAAGGGATAGAAGTTAGTGAGAAAGGAGATGCGTGATAAACTTTCCTTCAAACCCCATGCTGCTGTTGAATTTGCTTTTGCACATAACCTGTGGATAGCACTGTGTGAAAATACAGTATTTAAAAGGATTTATTCATTGCTTTAATTAAATCAATAATTTGAGTCTTGGGGACTGTTGATCTTTGCAGAGGTCTGCTGCTCCATTCTTTCTGTTTACCTCTGCTTAATTGCACACTGATGATCAATAAAAGAAAGAGACAGGAATGAACTGGAGCTTCTCTCTCTAACTTTCCCACTTCATGTGAAACTCTGAGAGGGAGCTCAAGACATTTAAAACACGTGTAATTGGAACCCTGTGACAAATGAAGCAAATGACATACATAAAACCTAATGGCAATTGTTGTGGTTTTTAAGGGAAGAGCTGCGGAACTAAACCGAGGCCTGCATATCCCCATGTACAAAGGGAGTTTAACTGGAGCATTTTTCTTTTGCTGGGATTCTTGATAATTAGTTTAATTAGTTTCATTTATTATATTCATTAAGTAGCTTATTATCAGAGCAGGTAATTGCCACATGTACAAAGTGGAGCTGAATGAGTGCTGTGCATGCAGGTGGCATTTAAAGCAATAGGAGACAAGATGGTTGAGCAAAATACTCCCACAATTTACAGGTAGGGAGCAGTAACCTGTGGTGTTTTATCACCTCGGAATATGCAGCAGAGCAGTGAGTAGAACATAGGTGAGAGTGATATGATTCTCTGTGAAGCCTGAGAGTGAAAAAATGTGGCTTTGTCTTAGTGGGGTATTCGGGAATTGGAGACTAATTAAGGAGCAACTATAGCTTTCAGTATGATCAGACGAATTACACAAGTAAAGGTCTACCTCAGCTGTGAGCTGCTGCCCCAAAACTGAGGGAAGTTTGAGATTCAGCAGCTCTTTGTTGTAAAAGAAGTGGAAATAAGTAATTATTTCTGCCCTCCTTGATGAGGTTTAGATCTGTGCTGTGCCTAGAAAGTCCAAATGTTTTCTAAACAAAAGGAGACTCATCCCATTGTGTGAGAAAAAGAAGGAAAATATTCTGGATGAGGAAGCTGTTGGGCAGCTCTTGGTGCTACAGATTCTTTGTTGGAGTTGATGATTAACAGGGGAACATGGGTGTTTCCTCACCCTATCCAGCCACAGAGGGGATTGGCCACTGCATGGAAAAGCCAGAGGTGTTTGCTCAGGGGAGCACACACGGCCTTGGGGTCTCTTGAGGTTGGAAAAATTGATGTGGTTTTAGGGGAAAGAGCATTGCAGAAAGGTTGAGAGAAAGTAGTGACAGCAGCTTGGTGAGATTTTGTGTTTGCGTACATTTTAAAGTCTTGGGGAGGTGCCTTTATAAATAGTAAAATCTTGATAAAATGGTGCTTAAAGCATCAGTTCAGTTTCTAAACACAATTTTGAAAGGGGTGACTGAGAATTTTGCTGAGTTACATCTTCTGGTAAGCACTTTCTGGTACTCTGCTAAAGCTGTTCAGATGTGATTGCAAGATTTGTCTGCTCTCATGCAAACACCTTTCAGTAAGATGATTCAGCTTCTCAAATCAATTGATACAAAGAAGAGACACAAAAAAAGGCATATTTACCATTGAGGTCACCAAAGCCATTTGTGTAGGCATCCCAGGTTTGGTTGAAATCCAGTGATCCATCCACTCTGTTCTGGATTACAGTCCAGGCAGTGCCTGTGAAAAGGGGAAATAAGTCACAGCACACCTGTCCATGAGTGTGCTCCTGTGGGCTCCAGTTTTGAGGTGGAATGAGTTAGCCTAAATCTTCATGAAGGGAATTCCAGTGAGCTCAGCTGAACTGAACACGAGACCATTCGAGTGTCCTCACCACACTTGTGTTGACTCAGCTCACTGGACTTACTGTGTTAGGCAGCCCTAACCGGGTTACAGTTGTTTATGAGGACACTGGGTTGCATTTGTTTATGGGGGCCGAGAGACAGTGATAAAAAAGAGATATGGAAAGCTCCAGACATTGGATCAGATTGTCACACTTGCTCTGCTGATAGTGCTTGGCTGCTGAGAGCACAGCTCCGGGGGAGGTATGAAGTGCTGGAGGCCATGTCCACGCTCCAGCTCCGTGGGGTCTTTCTCCTGTCCAGGTCATGACACCCTCATTTCACCAGTTTCAACAAATGTCAGCAAAGGAGCATTTTGCAAAGGGCAGCCCCATGCCTTTCTGGTTCCACATCCAAACACATGTCACAGCCCTGCATGTTTCCAGGTTCTCTGGTTGGCCGTGGCAAAGGGACCATGTGGGGAAGCTGCACAGGACAGGCACAGAGCAGCTCTGCAGGATGAAAAACTAGGGAACAGGTGAACTGGCCAAGCAATATTGATCTCTGAGTGGTAGCAAAAGGAACAGGTGAATGGGTTTCTTGTCAAGACATGACAATTCCATGCCTGTATGATACATGACCCACCCAACCATGATAGAGGAATTCTGTCTCCAGAACTTTTTGGGTTAGCTTGGCATAGCCAAGTCTCAAGCAATAGCCCTTGTTAATGAACCAAAATTATACTATGGTATTTACTGTTTACTGTTTGCTTTTCTTTGGAAAAGCTATTCATGATTGCCCTATAATGGCATTTCTAATTACCTTTTTCATTATCTATAGCTAAAAAGGTTTGGTTTTCTGATATACTTAATTTATGTCACATGATTAAGAGTCCTTTGCTTGTATAACAGGAGGTGCGTAAAGAATGAATGCAGTGGTAAGGAGATTTCAGGATGTGGGAAACCCAAGCACAGAGTACAGACAGACCAGTAAGAGCAGTCAAGAAGATACATAAACATGCTAAGTTTTTGTGTGCTTTGGGATAAGGCACAGTCATTTGTCTTATAAGAAACTATTTATGTGAAAATCAGACTATTTCTAACACAGCTCTTACCAAATTTCATCTCACAGTAGACGCTGAAAGCTTCTGAGCCCTTGGGCTTGATAGTGTAAACACCACTGAGCTGCTCACCTCTGTGGTAGAGAGCAGTGCAGTCAGGAGCAGCACCTGGGAAAGCAGACAGCAGGCTGTTAGGAATCCTGGTTTGGATGTGGTAACTTTAGAGACAAAACCAAAGGCAGAATGATTAGATTGGTTATTTTTATTATACAGTAAGCGTCATGGAACAATCTGGGCAAATTGGCTTTGGGCATAGTAGTATAGCTGCCAAGTGGGTTGGACTCCTTGTATATTTTAAGTTAGGCAAAGCTTCAATGTAGACAATTTTGGGAAGTTTCTAAGTGCTGAGACTGGACTCTATCAAATGGACCTTGTAAAGTTCCCAATAAATACTATTCCACTGCCATGGTTTAAAAATGTCTTTCAACTTTAAAGAAAGCTCTTCTAAATCTTATAGTCAGACAGTGTGAAGTGAATGAGTTCTCTGTTATGATTTCCAAGACAAGCATTGATAAAAGGATGGTCACAGCATGTGTTTGCAGGAGGTGAATGGATCCTGAGGACAGGATTAGTGTGTTACTGGACATTTTTTCTGTGTGTCACCTCAGAGACAAGCATACCTGTAGTTGAACTAAGATGATGATGTTTTATCCAAAGCAGGAAATTAGCTCCTTCCCACAGCTTTGTATAAAACATAGAGTCTTTTGCTTTGAGTCTTTGACCCTTAAAAACCAACTCAAAACTCTCCCAGAGACTACTGTGAATGCAGTGTGTGATGTAATCACACCTCAGGGATGAGGTCTCACCATCAGATTTGTGTGTTCCAGCTGTGGTGTTTGGCACAGGAAAGGGGATGCTCTCTGGTTCTGTTTGCTCCCGTGTGAAGGAGTTCTCTGTGAGTTCCTGGAGCTCTATGTGGTTTAGCTGAAAGAACCATAATTACACTGTTAATTTCCCAAGGCTCTGAAATGATGAGATTCATGGATCAAGCTGAGCGATGTCGTGCAGAGAATAATTTTTCCTATGAACATAATCCTTTAGAATACCAAATTTACCACATAAAAATAACCTTAGAACAGTGCTGGCGGATGTCAGGTGTGTGAATGTCAGCTGAGCCACTGCTCAGACCAGGCAGGATTCATAAAGTGAGTAAATGACCCATTCTCATGAGGTACACCTTAATGGGCAAACAGATTTAACTTATTTCCTCAGGTGACATCACTTAGACAAATAATACCAACATCTAAAGAGCACAGAACCCACAGTTCCTTAGGCTGAAAGGCATTTTCCTTTCACAGCCTCCTCTTAGGAATAAATTAAATATGAGCATGTCAGCTCTACCCAGTGTTGTGGTGACACGTTGAGCTGCAGAGCATGGCTCCCTGTGGCAGTGCATATTGGAAAAGAAGAAAGAGGTGGAAACAAGTGGCACTTCAAGACCAAGGGAAGAACAATAATATGATAGATAATAAGAGGCAAACAGAAAAGGAAATTAGCAGTCAGAAAAGGTAACAGCTTGGTGTTGAGAAACAGTATTTCAAAGCTGTGTCATGGTGTGCCCTGGCCGTAGCCCCTGCTTGCCAGCAAAGCAGTCAAGCAGGTACCCAAAGAGGTAGCTGTATGCAGCCAGAATTGCTCCTACCCTCCTCCACACCCCCAAACTGTGAACAAGAGGATGCCTGACCCAAATGAATGGTTGGGCCCTCAACTCTATCAGTGTTATGAGAGATGCAAAGAGAAATAGAGATGGTTCCTGTACCTTGTCCTCCAGCTCCAATATTTGGTTGTGCTGCCTGTCCAGTTGCATGTGCTGGTCCTCCACAGTTTTGAGAAGATGCTTGATGTCATTGTCCTGCTGCTCCACAAAAGCCTGAGGACAGGAAAGGAAGGAGGAGAGTTGTGGTTAGAAGCAGCAGAAGACCTTCACAGTGGTGCTCCATCCATAACTCTTGCCATGGGCCCAGTTTTGAGAGGCACAAACCGTTGAACATTGACCTTCCTTTTCCAGAGTATCATAGAATATCCTGAGTTGGAAAGGACCCACAAGGATCATCCAAGTCCAGCTCCAAAGGGTTACCTATTTTGTCTCTAAAGGGGCAAATTTCTTTGCTTCTGAACTGAACATCCATTGTTTTAGAGACAAACTGCTGGCAGCTTGTTGCTGTTTTCCTTTCAGTTTTATGTCCTGAACAATTATGTTCTGTGGAGTTGTCCCTTAATTCGAACTAGATGTATGCCACTGATTAAAAAAGGGAACAATTCCCAGCATTTAGGGTATTAGCCTGGGATTTGGGATTCATCTGGTTTGACACAAGCATCCAACATTTTTTCACACAAGTTGCTTGGCCTTTTCATGCTTCTGCAAAATACAGTTAATACTTCCTTTTCCATGGGAAACTTTATACTCCCCTAAATACTTGCATGTATAATTCTATTAATATGTCAATTTTGTTAACACTTTAACGGGTTTTTTTGGTCCTGGAGGTCATATAGGTGCTACAGATGTCCCGTTGAAAGGTTTCAAGTCCCTGAGCAGGCAGTTCCTAGTGCATTGATTTGGGTTGAGATGATGACGTACAAACCCATGGGATTGGGAATCACATTGTTTTTCTTATTGCAAAACACTTTTATCATCATGATTACAAAATTTCTTGACATTGATTTGCACAAAAATGCTGAAAATGATACAGGGTGTTATAATTTTACAATTCCTCACTGATCTCACTGGGGAATTTTACTGCAAAATTAACAGTATGTCAGATTAAGGTAGTGATTCTTCTAAGATTATCCCAGTGATTTCTCGAAACACACAGTAAATACTGCAGTGACAAGCAAGGGAAAGCACAAGCCTCTATTGCATAACTGCTGATAGTGGCATGGCAGTGTACTTTGGCTGTTTGGGTCAGAGCCTTTCACAAGTCACTTACTCTGAGTGAAGAAATCTCTTTTGTCTCTTGCGTGGAAGGTTGGATAATGGCCAGTTTGGTGACTTTGTCCTCCAGGCCCCACACTTTCTCTTGCAGCTGGATTTTGTTCTGTATGAGATCTTCAATCTTCAGATTCATCTCCTGTGAGAGATTCTTTATCTCCTCATTGTTGATTTGCAGTCTGGCCGTGGTTTGCCTGAGCTGTTCCTCTTCTTCTTTGATTTCACTAGTTTGCAGGGAGAGCTCGTAAAAGGACCTATCAAAAATATACAGTTTTTGAAAGATGTCATTCATCTGCCCCTTGGTCTTGTGGACAAAGTCTTTCAGACCATGCCCAAGCTGGAGGAGTCCATTGGCCAAGATTCGTACGTCATCCAGCATGGCAAATCTTGATTTCATCTCGTGAGATGCAGCAGAATCAGCGGAGAAATAATCCTTCTCCACTCTAGCTGCAAGAGCAAAGGGAGCAATGAACAGAAAGGCTAAAATGATTTTCATGTTTCCTGCTCCTCACTCTTCGGTTGTTCAGGATGCAGAGCCTTTTCCTCTTAATAGATTTTGCTGCCTGAGTGTTCTGGGTGGAAGAATTTGATCTATTTATACTCCTCTTCATTTCCGAAGAGGCAGAGCAGCAGGTTGATCATTAAACTGAATGTGAACGAATGTAACCCCTCTCAGATGTAGGTTGATATCTGGGAAGATAAAACTGAGAGAGTGGCTGATGTTGCTGATTGAACTGGTTCTGAACTTTTCCATCTGCCAGACCTTCTGGTATAAAATGTGATTGATGGCATAGTGTTGTTCACACAGCTCTTCTTAATAGATTAATTTCAGGTCATAATCTTGATAAGGGCCTAAATTGCTGCTTGTTTGTGTTGTTTGATTCCTTTTACTGCCTCAGGAGTATGGAAGGGGTTACCATGTTTAAGAGCACTGGATGTTCAGGTTGTGCAGCTCCTTGATAAGCTATGGAAGGACAAAATATCCCAGATGATTCACACAACTTGATTCTCATCTTATGCCGTTTTCTGATGTAACTCATTGTGCTGCAGTGGATTTACTTGTCATCTAGCTCAGATTAAGTGAGAAAGAGGGAATTAGGTCCAGAGATTGCTTGGATGTGATTCTACTATGTTAAGGTTTGTGCAGTAATTTACACCATATAAAACTTATTTTTTAAGAGCTGCTTTCCAGAGGTGGGTGAGATAAATAATACCTCACTTACATTTCTCACCTTACCCTACTTCCCACTGTTTAAGATTCACACTACATAAAGGAAGGCTCCAAGTACTCTGAAATAAATGCCCTGTTCTGCAGCAGGTCTCTGTGTGGATGTTTTTTGAGTAGTATTGCAGTGGGAGTGAAAGGTATGTTTCTTTCTGAAATTACTCATAACATCCAAGAGATCAAAATCAGCCCGTTCATAATACAGTTTGTACTTGAGAGAGTTTTCAGGGGTTTGCTAGATTCTTGTGTGTTTAGTAATTCTTCCCCTGGACTTTCTGTTGTGTTGTTCATGTACATATGCACATATGATGTGAAGCATCCATAGAAAAGATATTTTAAAAATTAAGTTGTCTCATACATTGAACTTCTTGTTTTGGTGTGAGAAAAAAGTTTTTTACTCTAAGGTTGGTGATACACTGGCACAGGTTGCCCAGGGAGGCTGTGACTGCCCCAACCCTGGCAGTGTTCAAAGCCAGGCTGGATGAGGCCTTGAGCAACCTGCTCTGGTGGGAGATGGCCCTGCTCAAGGCAGGGGTTTGGGGCTGGATGATCTGTAAGGTCCATTCCAACCCCCAAATTCTGTGATTCTGTGAAAGTACTTTAGAACTCAACTTAGTTGCTAGAGAATATTTTGTACCAGTATGACTTGGATCAGATTTACTGGAGTATCTGGAGTACAGAAAACCAGCAGGAGCATGGCCCAGCTCTGAGGAGGTTTCAGTCAAAGAGAATTTTCTGGCTTAGCAAGCATTTAGGTTGCTGAGAGTAGCTGTGGCTGCTCCATCCCTGGGAATGTTCCAGGCCAGGTTGGATGGGGCTTGGAGCAACCTGGGCTAGTGGAAGGTGTCCCTGCCCATGGCAGGGGGTGGAATGAGATGGACTTTAAGGTCCTTCCAACCTAAACCATTCTGGGATTCCTAATTGTTTGGATTCTTAACATTTTAACTCTGACTGGTTTAATAGTTTTTGCTTTGAAGGGCATACTGAGATATACAATACCCAATAACAACCCTATATAACCCTATAAAACAGTTTCAGTGCTTATAAAAAATAAGGTAAGCATGTGCTTTTGAAGGATTTGTGTTTTCTGTAAGGGAACTCATTGGAATGTCACTTGTATAGCTGAAGTTTAGGTATGGTTTTTACCTGGGCATGACACAGATGGGTAAAAGGGAACAAGATGCAGCCTCTGGCACCTGACAGTGATTTGAGGCTGCAAAACTTGACAAAGTCGCAAAATTAAAACAAAAAAAGAATAAAAGTATAGACTTTCTGCAATTCTCTTGAAAGTACTTAAGTGGCTTTGGTTTTCTGGGGTTTCAGATGAACCATTCTCTTGTTTTAACTATTTCTTACTGGAAGCATTTCTGTTTCATTTCAAATAGTTCTTGATTCTTCCTAACCCCATCACCCCCAGAGTCTTCATTCTTGGCTTAGTGTTCAGAAAAATACAGGAAATAGAGGAAATTTGTATATATGTATGATATACTCAAGAAACAGCAGTGACCAAGCAAATGGAGATCAGACACTTTACCAAGTTTCTACAGCCTAAGAAGCTCCTGTGTGTCCCATGTGCTGCTTGGTGTCAGGGTGCTGCTCAGACAGGACACCCTTTAGAGAGGCAAAATGTATCCTGAAGGATACCCTTTGGAAAGGTTTGTTTTCCAGAGCAGAAAGGCAGCGAAAATGCTCAGATGTCAGACACTAAAAAAAGCACATTTCCCTATTTAATTCCAGGGTCAGTACAATCAGGCAGCTCACTACAAAACACCACCCTTAGGTGTCACAACAGTCCCACAGACCATGAGACAAGCAGGACACAAGAAAGCAGAGAGAGAAAAGCTTCTGGTCTGATTAAACCCTAAGATTCAGGAGCTGTGGAAACCCTGAGGGGGAATCCTACCTCCGAGAGCTCTTAGCCCAGTCAAGGAACGATGTATATAACAAACATGATCCTGAAGATCTTTTGTGCACCTGAGTGACCCTGATTAAATGGGCTTTAAATGATTTTTATGGTAGGAATAAAGCAAAGAAAAAGGTCTCTGGGTTTTACTGAAAAGGGAAATTTTCATAATAGTTAGCAATTCCCTCTAAGAGTTAGGATCAGCTCTTCATGTTTTAATACCTTTATGAAGGATTTTGCAGAAAGGCTGCAATCACATTACATAAATATTTAGAGGAGTGCCTGGTGCCATTATTTCCGTGGCTTGGGAAGCCTTTGCACTGTAGCAATTCATTTTATGGAAGTGAAAGTACTTTCGAGATCTGTTTGAGATAATAGGATAAGCTTTGCATATATTTTGCATAGCATTTCAGTAAAAGCTCCAGACACAAGTCCTTGGGTTTAAAGCTCCTGGCTGAAACTTTTATTGATGGAAATCCAGACATTTATAATGTTCCTCTCAGTTTTTCAGCCCTCAGCCCCTTTTCATGGCTCCTGTAACTGTGCTTAGACAGGAAAATCTGTGACTTTTACCTATGTAGGGTAGAAGACAGGCTGGGAGAGCTGGGGCTGTTTGACCTGGAGAAGAGAAGGCTCTAGGGAGACCTTAGAGCCCCTTTCAGTGCCTAAAGGCACTCCAAGAGAACTGTGGAGTGACTCTGGACAAGCGCCTGGAGGGACAGGACAAGGGGAAATGGCTTTAAGCTGAAAGAGGGGAGATTTAGATTGGGTATTGGGAAGAAATTCTTCCCTGTGAGGGTGCTGAGGCACTGGCATAGGTTGCCCAGAGAAGCTGTGGCTGCTCCATCCCTGGAAGTGTTCCAGGCCGGGTTGGATGGGGCTTAGAGTAACCTGGGCTAGTGGGAGATGTCCCTGCCCATGGCAGGGGGTGGAAGGATATGATCTTTAAGGTCCCTTCCAGCTCAAATCAGTCTGTAATTCTATGGTACGGTAAACCAGGATTTGTCCTTTGGGGTCACATGCTGATTTGCAAGGTGGGGACATTTTCCTCCCTCTTTTTGAGTAAATTTTCCACAAAAGGGAGATGCCTGTAATAGCAAACCCTCTGGAGAGAAGCTGCCTCAACAGGAGCAACCGTCCAACTCTCCTCTGCCTTGCAGTGGGGTCTGTGCAACTGAAATCCCGTAAGCGGAAATGCAGGATCACTGCCCTTAACAAGGGCTTGAAAAGCAGTGGATTTGGGAACAAACTGCACATTTCCTCCAGTGCTTGTTATTAGGAATGCAGTTAAAGCTTTGCCTGACACAACATCAGCTGTGATGTCTGCTTGTGTCTGGAGTGGCATCTGCTGAGCTGTCCCTTCCCTCTCAGCAGCCAAGTCCTAGCAGAAGAGGTGTCAGGAGAGCTGCAAGCTTGGTTTAGGCTCATCTCTGCTATTCAGCATAAATCACTCCTAAGCATTGAGCCTGCCTTTAATATAGGGATCCTGCAGCCTGGCTTCACAAATACCTTAAATCCTCCTCTTAAGCATTAATAATACTTAATAAAAGTTTTATGAGCAATGTACATTTTAGTGTAAATTTTCATATCCATTTTCATTTTAAAAAGAACATCAAGGAGCAAATGTATTCATGCCAGAGCAAAGTAATTTAAGAGAGTCACAAAAAAGATACAGGCCCCTCTGAAATAGCAGGAGAGCATTGATTAGGCAAAGTGACCAACGGGGATGGGATTCAAAAACTTAATTCACCATGAAGGACTTGAGAGGGAAGAAATTCCCACATGCCAGCTAAGCATATTCCTCTGCCTGGAGGGGTGAAACAGCCTGGTTCTTGTATCTGTCTGGAGCTGTGCAGCTGGACTGCTCTTAGGGAATTCCTTAGGACCAGCATTAGCCTGTGTCTGTAGGGGTGGAGCTAACCATTTGTATCAGGGAGTAACTGGTGGTACCATCAGAACCAATTCCCTGGGTGGGTTTCACTGGCCATTTCAGACAGCCTAGGGCAGTTCCCCTTTCCAGTTTTTCCTCCAGGAGCTTGTCCCACCACCAGCCCGGTTCTGGATACCCATGGCATCTAAAAAAGCACCAGGTACGTTCACTGAGCAACCAAATTACTGCCCTCCTGAGAATCCAAACGAGTCTCTGTTTTCAACCTCCTGTTGCCAGCACTTGGCAGTGGCTGCTTTATTGTGCCTTAAATGTTGTCCTGCTGTGCTCCTCACTTGTTTTCTGTGCCCATCTGTTGTCTCTTGTCTCTCTGGGACAAGGAACAGTTGGAAGCTGCTTACAAATTGTGTTCAGATCCACTGAATAGTTCCCAGAGGGGGACAGCAGGGAAGGGAGCCTCTTTTTCCTCTTGTCTTACAA